TCCGATTTCGAAAAATAACAGAGCGATTCCGCTGTACGGAAGACGAGCTTCCCGATGCGAAAATCGGAGAGACGAATTCTTGCCCTTCGACCACCCTCTATTTTTTTGACCGTTACTTTCAAATGGCAGACGAATTTTTTCCCAGCTCAAGGTGAAAGGATTTTTCGAAGTAAATAGACGAATCGACAGTTCTTCCCCCGCAATACAAGATGCCGATCAAACCGAGCCGATGCGATACCCTCGTCCCGACTTATGAGGGTTGTAAAATTAGTTTGGAAATTCCGGGAAGAAGCGATATTGAGACGGCTGTAACTCCCTCAAAACGTTTTCAAACGTCAATAGTGACGTGTTCATTGGAAAGCCCATCCAATTCTCCTGAATTTTCATATTAAAAAAAACGTCCGATTCGGCGGATTTTCTACAAAGTTACGGACCTCCGATCAGGAAACAATGTGTCGCACTCAGGGGCGTATATATAGGATTTTTTTTGGGAGGGGCAGATTCATGATCATGAATCATGATGATGATGATGATAGACCGCAATGTACGAAGGCGGCGTTTTGGGGAGGGGCATGGCCCCCTCTGCCCCCCCCCCCCGCTCTGTATATGTACGCTACTGGTCGCACTCCCTGATGTTCGACGACTTATCACTAGAGCTCGGACTTTCAAGCAAAATGCATATTTTGCTTGGAAATGCTTATTTAGGACCTTTTCGGACGGAAATGCTTAATTCGAGATTCAAACGCATATAATGCTTATTTCGAGATTTTACGCTCGGGGATAGCCTCTCGGGCTGTATTTTCCGAGAGAGCCCGGATGTCTCGTCCATTGCCAATCATTCACGCATCCGGGAGGCTCGGCGCCTGCGACTCCAAGAATGCTCAACACCGCACACCGCACGGCTTTGACGACGTTCGAATCAAACACAACCAGCCGGACTGCTCGGTGATCGCTTGCCACCACCTGCGAACGAAAACATTCGTTTCGAGAAGTGAACGTAAACTCCGAACGGAAGGAAAGAATGCCGAAAGAAAAATCAACGCCGAGGTCGAAGATGGAGACCTTCGTGAAAGTTTCCGGTTGTGAAGTACTCTCGACGGACGGTCGCGTTCTGTTCTGCAAAGTCGGCGAGAGAGAAATCTCGGCCGATAAGAAGTTCGCGGTTTCACAACACGTGAACGGAGTGAGACACAAATCGTTAGTGGAGAAGAAGAAGCAGCAGACAGACTCATCGAGCGTCTCTCAGATGGAATCGTTCCTATTGTAACAGAGTTCCAAGGGAACCTCAAGAAGGCGAGAGACGGGAGGGAAGACGAAGATCGAAAGATCGCGCGGACACATAGGCAAACCAGTAACAGGTGCGCATGCGGAAATCCTAAATTGTAAACTTGTACCTAGAGCCGGACGAGCCGGCGACCACGGTTCCAAGGATTGTTCTTGGATCGGGGTCGGCGGCGAACTCCGGAATCGACAGACCCTTCCGCATGTGTGACAAGGCGGCGAACCTTAAGATGCGTAACGAGGCGCGGTAGGAACTTTGGAATCGGCGCGCGAGAGAGCGGTGTTGTAGTGGGCCAATCGGAAACAATGCTAACGTTCCGGAAAGGGAGAGAGGGCAGGAGAATAAAACGAGTGTGGAGGCGGGAACCCGCCATTCCCGATCTTCGCGTGCAATCAGCTAACCGTGTCATCCTTGATTCACGTTTTCCAGCCCCCTAGAACCCTAGCCCCAAGACCCGAGGAGCCGCTGCCGCCGCTCCCCAGTCCAGTCAAAGAAAGAACCCAAGTGGAGCGCCCCGTAAGTCCCGTAGAACTGATCTTAGAGCTTCAGCCCATAATCGACCCCGGAGTCCACGTAGATTACCGTTACACTATTAGCTTCTGGGAAGCAATCGCAATTCCATCTCGACCTCTGTGATGCCTTCTTGTCAAGTGGCATACCGCTTTTCAAATTGGACCACGGAAAACTAAGATCGTTTTTCGGGAAATACGTGAAACATCAGGTGCCGAGTTCATCCGCGTTGCGCAAAAACTATATCAGGAGCAAGTTGGACTCTATCAGAAGCCATGTCGCTGGGAAGTTCATATGGCTGTCTGTCGATGAAACGACGGATGCTACAGGTCGTTTTGTAGCCCATGTTGTCGTCGGGACTATGGAGACGACATTCAGCCGAAGTATTCTTCTGCACTGCGAAAGTCTAGAGACGACAAGCGGTATTACAATATCGCAGGTCTTCGTCAATTCCTTGACGCTCCTCTGGCTCCAGCAAATCCAGCACGACCGTGTGCTCTTGTTTGTGTCCGACGGCGCAGCCTACATGAAAAAAGCAGGCACGGCTCTCGAAGTGATGTTCCCGAAAATGCTGCATTTTTACCTGCACCGCGCATGCATTGCATCGAGTGGCAGAAGAAGTGAGATTTCTGTTTCCGAAGGTAGACAAGCTCGTCTCGAATGGCAAGAAACTTTTTTTGAAGTCAGCTCCAAGGACAACAACTTTTCGCGAGAAGGCACCCGGGATACCTCTGCCGCCTCAACCAATCCTGACGCGATGGGGAACCTGGATTACCGCCGCTTTCTATTACGCCGAGAATTTCGAGGCTTTCGCGGTGGTTGTCCAGTCCATGGACGCGTCTGAGGCCGCGAGCATTGCGCTAGCTCAAGGATTGTTGAAGGACGAGTCCCTGAAACGAGATCTCGCTTTCATCAGAAGTCATTTCGGTCACCTACCACCTGGCATCGAGAAACTTGAAAAAAAGAGACTTCTCTAATCGAGAGCATTGGAACGTTTGAACGAGTTCTAGGCGCACTCGAAGATACGCCAGGCCAGATCGGGGACCGGCTCCGACAATAGTATAAATCGGTATTGAGTCGTAATCCAGACTACGGTAGTGTCAAGGCGATTGCGGATGTTTTAAGGGGGGATATCCCCGAAAGTTGTAACCTCGATTTTAGTCCTGGGGGAATTGCCGCCTTCAAATTCGCTCCGTTGACGTCCGTTGACGTGGAGAGGAGTTTTTCTCAGTTGAAATACACCCTTGACGATCGTCGTCACAGTTTTACTTTCGAAAACCTACGGATGGTGCTAATTGTGTACTGTAATGCT